AAGCCTGGAAGGCAACTGTCAGGAGCGCTTTCATGCACCCCAATTATGGGTTTTTGAGGGACAAAGGGACAGAGGACAGAGGCCGGTGCGCTCGCCCCGAAGCCCTCGGCGGTTTCGGTGGGCCCAGCCGTGTCTTTAAGCACACATCCCCGCCCCCCTCTGGCTGCCTCCCTGTCATTTTCGAAGACATCATTTTCTCCCACATGCTCCTCTTATCTCCCTCCCGTTAAAGGATCTCAAATATGCACCCCGATAAGGCGGACGAACACGCTTCCCAGCCCCATCCAACGCCAGCCTCCACTTTCCCCCAAAGTAATTAAGATAAATGCAGCTGATAATTTTCGCAGGCTTCTTACACGGACCCTCGGGCCGTATCTCAGATATACGTTTACCTGCAAAGGTTTATCTGAGAGCTTGGGTAACAGATAGTTTTTAAGCAAAGCAGCAGTGTTTGAAGGAAGAGGAAAGGGGAATATTTGTAAAATTGGTGTCAGAACAAGCCGCCCCGCAGCCCCTTGGAGCCTACTGCAGGTGGAGACCCTGGGCAGGCTGCTCCAGGCCGCGAGGCTCCCCCGAGATGGGCACGGCCGGCTGCTGGCCAGCGGGGACGGATGTGGGGCACTGAGTGTCGGCACGGGCTGTGGCCGGCCATGCTGCTCAGAGATGACCTGGAACCAGAGGCCCCTGCCCGGCGGAGCTGGCACGTGGGGCGCCTGGCTTTACCCACCAAGCCCATGTCGGAGCAGGCCAGCCAGCCAGGGGCTGGGCCAAGCCACAGGCCAGCCATGGGGCAGGCCCAGGGAGGCTGAGGGCAGGGCCAGTGCCCAGGGAGGCGCAGCTCAAGCGGCTCTGCCAGGATGGGCAGCCAGAGACAGCGCGGGAATCAACAATCAGAGGGGGTCAGGCTAGACCCAGGCCAGCCTGGTGCCACCCAGAGGCTCAGGGAGAACATTCTGTGTGGAGAGGCAAGGTCCTCTTCCAGGCTCTGCCTCCCAGACTCGCCGTGTGACCTTGGACTGGCCTGAGTCTATTCCGTGCCTCAGTTTCCCCATCTGCACCCAGGTCAGGCTGGAGCTCCACTGCCCTTCCCAGCTCTGTTCCACCCAGTGGTGTGTATGTCTTGCCTCCTGTTTGGTGTCCAGGATGAGGAGCGGGGCCCTGGGGTTGGGTGTGGATGTGGGCCCCACCCACATCCACTGAGTCCCTGACCCTCCTTGGCCTCCCATTACCCACCAATAAAACCCAAACTGGCCCATCCCCTCACCAGCACCACGTGCTCACCACCCTGGCCCACCATGCCTCCCGCCAGGAGTCCCCCATCCCTGGCGCCTGCCCGAGAGGCCTCCACCCAAGGCCCAGCCACGCATGGCTGAGGGTAACCTCAGAGAGGCCCTGAGTGCCCACCACCCTCACCCAGACCCACTCCCTCGCTCTGTCCCATCACACCCACGGCCGTCAGTCCATCCTAACCTGCGTCCCGCCCGGACCTGCCCACCCCTCTCTCGGTGCTGACCTGGGTGACAGACCTGCCCCGTCCGTGCCTCAGTTTCCCATCTGTAAGTGGGGAGAACAGGGTGAAGCTTGTGGGTGGCCGTGGAGACCAGGTGAGGAAACAAGCCTGTCGCCTGCAGTCACTGTCGTGGCTCCCTCGCTGTCTCCCTCCCTGAGAGCTCCGTGGGGAGGGATGGAGGATGAAGAAGGTGCCTGACCTGCGGCCGTGTGTCCCCGCCTCCTGTGCCCGCCTGACCACTGTGCCCCCTCCGCTCACCCTGCGCCAGCGGAGACCGCTTATAGCCTTGTTCTCTGCAGGTTCGGAATGGGCACGGAGCCGACCACGCGAGCTCCTCTAACCCTGAGCCCCTCCCGAAGGCCCCACCTCCAGATACCACCACACTGGTGCCTAGGGCGTCAACACAGGCATCTGGGGACACGAACACTCAGTCCTTGATGGCCAGGGCGAGGAGACAGAAGGGCAGGTGCCCCTCCCCCACCGCGCCGCTGGGCCGGAAGCTGGACGGCCGAGTCCCTGCCTTTCCGGAAGGCGCAGAAGCAGCGGAACGGGAAAATTCAACCCACCCCTCACTGAGTGGTGGGCCGCACAGGCCACAGGGCAAGGAGCGAAGCTTCCAGGCTGCCCGGGCCATGAGCAGGGACGTCATTGGTCACAGAAGAGGGAGCCAGAACAGGCCTAAGGTGGCCTCGGGTTGGACACCTCATTTACAGCTGGGGAAACTGAGGGCAGGAGGCCAAGGGTCAAATGTGGAGGTGGGGGCACGGAGCTCTGACTGGATGGTGTCATCCTGAGTGCAGAGCTGCCCAGGCCACCAGGATGTGGGAGGACAGTCCTGCCCCTGAGGGCTCACGAGATCAATCACTGCTGATGGGGCGCTGCCAGGTAAACCGACACCTCACAGGTGGACTCGCACGCGCAGCTAGAAAGGCTTCTTGGAAGAGGGAGCCTGGTGGGGAGCCTGGAAGAGCAGGGGGCGCCTTCAGAGCAAGCATCCGGGGAGCGCCTGCGTGTGCTGGGCTGCGCGGACGAGTTAGCTGCGGGTCCCTTTAATCTCAGACGACAGCCCTCTGAGGTCAGGACTTCCATCCTCCCCACTTTACAGGCTCCGGCTGGCCCCGTCCCACAGCCGGCTTCAAGCCCCACCCAGCTGAGTCCGCCAAGCACAGTCTCCCTGGAAGCAGTGGGAATCGGGAGGATGGGGAAGGAGGCATCCAGTCTGGGGGGAGGTGGGACTCAGGAGAATTGACCAGGACTGGGGCCCCCCGCGGGCGAGGCAGGGAGAGGAGTGGGGCTCCAGGACGGAGAGGCAGGCCGCTGCCAGAGGTGAAAGAGGAGGTGAGGGAACAGGGTCGGGAATAGAGGCTGTGTGCTGCACCAGGCCAGGGGCTCGGGGGTGGGTAGGGGGCATTGGGAGGGCAGGGGCTGGGCCTGCGGTAGGACCTCCTCACCAGGAGCTGCTGCCCCGCACCCAGCCGTGGTCTTGAGTTCCCCAGACGCCGGGCCAGAGGGGGTTAGGAGGGGCCAGGTTGTGTTTCAGAGGGAAAGGAGACCCCGCACCCCTGGGGCAGGCCCGGATCGGGGATTGGGTCTCCCGACTTCAAAGGGGCCCGGCCTGCTGAAACTGACACCCGTGAGCACCGGGGCTCTGCCAAGAGCCGGGCGGAACCTGAGCCCCCGCACACGCCGCCCCACGCCTGCCCCGTGGTCTGAGCACCGCAGACCCGTCCTTGAGCCCTGGCGGGGCGGCGGGCGGAACGTCAGGCCCGCTGTCCTGGGACCAAGGAAAGAGGGAGTGGGTGGCTGAGCTCTGCCCACAGGCTCGGCACGGGGAAAAGGGCTCCCCACGAGGGGAAGGGGCTCCTGAGGGGGGCCAGGAGCAGAGCGACTTTCTCCAGCACGTCCCTGCGGGCCTGTCTGTGTGCAGCGTGACTTGTCAGTCACACCACCTCTCTGAGCCTCAGTTTCCCCATCTGTAGTCCTGCGTTGACTCCCAGTGAGTTCCGTGAGGCGGAGGCTGTGATGCAGTCACTCGTGAGTGTATGCCCAGGGCCCAGCATAGCGTCGGCACAGATGTCTGGAAATGCGAGTGAATGAATGAATGGGCGGTGTGCTGAGAGCTCTGCACTGGACACCGCCATGCTACGCCCTCTCCAGCCCCCAGCCTGCCCACCAGGTCAGGGCCCTTCCCGCCCTGTGATGCCGGGACTCCTGTTAAGGCCTTGTATTCTCTCCATCGTCAGGAGGAAGGGAAGTGGGCACAGCCCCACAGTGTTGTCCTTGTGGGCGGGCTGTCTGCACCGAGTGACAAACAGCAGCTTAAACGATACGCATCATCATCTCACGGTTCTGTGGGTCGGGGATCTGGTGCATCCCACTGGGTGGTTCTGGCTCCAGGTCTCTCTTGAGGCTGTAGAGGAAAGGTCAGCAGGGGCTGCTGTCTGGTATGAAGGCTCGACCAGGGCTGGAGGTGACTCCTCACGAAGCTGTGGATGGGAGGCTCAGTCCCTCCCCTGTGGACTCTCCACAGGTTTCTCAAGGGTCCTCACCACATGGTGGCTGGCAGCCCCCAAGGGAGCGATCAGAGAGAGCCAGGTGGAAGCCACAGTGCCTTTTATGACCTAATTTCCACCCTATTCTTTTCGTTAGCAGTGTGTCACCCAGTCCAGCGCACATTCAAAGGGAGGGAATTGGCTCCACCTTTTGGAGGGAGGGGCATCAAAAAATTTGTGGCCACATTTTAAAACCACGACAGAGGTTGATCGACAGTCTCTCTCCAAACCACAAACAACATTTGCCCTTTGACGCTCCATCTCTTCTCGGAGTTCACCCTGTGGGTCTCACTCACACGTGTGTTTGTTGTAAAGGCTGCCAGAGGGATCTGGATGCATAAGTAGCTGTTCGACCCTTAGGTGGAATATTCTGTGCGTGTGGGTGGAGAGGCAGACAGACAGGCAGGAACCTCTGTATGGAGTGCTGTGGAGTCATCTCCAAGACTCCTTGTTAAATGCACAAAGTACGGTCTGGAACAGTGATCATGGTAGACTATCTTTCATTGAAGAAAGGAGGAAATTGGAATATTTATTCATATTTGCTGGGTTTTGCATCAAGAAACTGGAAGGAAACACAAGAAGCTGCCCCGGTGCTTGCTCAGCAGATGGAAGGAAGCGGGTCCTCGGCCGGGGTGGGGTGGGCATGGGACTTCTCGCTGCAGCCCTTTGGACACCGTCTCGCCTTTGGGAGCCAGGTGAAGGTGTAGCCTGCGCAACCGTAAGAACTTAACAAAAAGAAATGTAACGCAGTGGCCACACCTGCCTGAGCTGCCCGCCGCCTCGAGCTCACCCGTTGCCGGCCCCGTGGCGGCTTCCTGGCGCCCTGAGGCCCCGCTGGCTCCACGTGGTGTTGGGGGCCTTGCCCGGGAGCTGCTCCCTCCCACCCGCTCCTCCCCGGGACTCTGGGCCCACAGCCAAGCACCACATGGATTTTGACACGCTTCCCATTTTCTTTGCAGCCAAGAAATCCTCACTGCTCAAGAAGCTGTGCAGCGACCCAGCTGAGGGCCGACTCCCCAGGTACGTAGACGGGGACAGCTGGCGGAGGCTGGCAGGCCACCCCCAGCCGGAGATGCCCTTGTCCCCATGCCCCCACCGCCCCAGCCGTCTGCTTCCACCTCCCAGCTTGGGCGCTAAGTGGGGCTGCCAGCTGCCTCCCCAAGAGGCCAGCTCCAGGAGCCGCTGTCAGGAGCCGACACAGGCTTCCTACCACAGCCCGGAGCCGGGCAGAGGGGCGGTGCGGACTGCAGCTTGTCACGCCAGGCTGTCAGCTCAGACCTTCTTTTCCTGAGCGGCCTGCAGCGCAGCTCTTTCAAACTGGCGGCTCAGGCCTGTTTCCAGACCCCGCCCAGCCTGCCCGTGAGCCCCTTCCTGCAGTCTGTCTGCACTGGAGCTCAGAGGGTGACAGGGCCCCATAGTTACAGTCTCCACAGGAGCACATTGGTCCCCACCTTGCTCTCTGAGCGCTTTATGAAAAGGCCGTCACTGACCTCACCTGACCATGACCCTCAAAGAGGTCCCAGGGTTATCCCAGGTCACAGATGGAGAAACCGAGGCTCAGTGAGGCACAAGGCAGGGATCAGAGCCAGGGCCATCAGCCTCTCCGGCCCCAGCCCCCGCCCACCCCTCCCTCCTGGGGGGTGCAGCTTGGAGCCTGGACCTGTGGGGCCTCCACAGTGTCGGATGGCTCCTCTGGCCTTACTGCCACCCCCTCCCCCCCCCCCAGAAAGCTCTGGAAGCTGTGGGGAGGCCCAGGGGCCAGCCTGCTGGGGGTGGGGGAAGGAGGCCCTGTGAGGTCAGGAGGCCCTCCACCCATCTGCACCTCTGACCCTGTGGGTTTCACTGCTTTCTCGAGTGGAGCCCTGGGCCTGGGTCCCACATCCCAGGCAGCCTGGGAGTTTAGGAGGGAGGTCCCACAGGCCAGAGCCCCTCCTGGCTCCTAGGGAAGGATGCACACCAGCCCCCATCCGGCTCAGACTCAGCTCCTGGCTGGCGCACCCTGGATCACCGCCCACAGCTGGTTGAGGGGCTCTGGCTGGGGGCCCCCTGGAGCTGGTGGCAGGGCGAGCATCAGGAGGTGCCCTGGCCCAGGTCAGAGTGCATAATGAGGCCGGCCACCCTTGCCTAAGCTGCTGGCTGCCCACTCTTTTGGGGTCCCTTCAAGGCCTTGCTTCAAAGGCCTCGCTGTCCTTAATGATCTCACCCAGACCCGGCATTCCCCCGGGCACAGAGCTCATTGTCCAGCTTTCCCCAGCTAGCCCTGTACCCACCTGTGCTCACAGTTCCCCCTTCTCTGAATGCCCTCTCTGCCCTGGTGCCCCAAGCCTGGCCATCCACGTGGCCAGAACCAATGCCACCTCCTCCAGGAAGCCTCCTCTGATGCCACAAGACGGTCAAGCAGCCTGGCCACAGCCTGCGAGCTCAGCCCTCACAAAGGTGGCAAGATGGATTCCTGAGCCTCGGCTCTGAAAGTCTCTGCTCGGAAGTGCATGAGTCACTGCTGCTCACATCCAGCGGCCAGATCGAGCCACGTGGCCAAGCCTGCTGGCAGCCGATCAGGCCAGGACAGTCCTTCCGTGGGGGACGGCAGAATCTGGGTAATAATGCAAGCTGCCCGCCTTGGGGAGCCTTCTGGCATTCAGAGCTCACTCAGGGCTGCTGGCATTTGGAGTGACAAGCACGCCCAGAGGCTGAGGGCGCCCCCGAAAGCAGGGGGGGCAGAGGCTCCTGCTCCTTCTTAAAGACCCACGCAGGATGGCCCAGGTGGCCCCGCCCCAAGATGTCGCTGCAGCCTGGAGGGGTGACAGACCCCAACTCTTGTCTGGCTTCAAGCAGTGCCCAGGGAGAAGCAGCTCAGCAGCCCCTTCCACAGATGGGGAAACCGAGGCACCGGCATTCCACGAGTGCCCACCGTGTGCCAGGCACTGTGCCAGCTCATGTAGATGGTTGAGCCTGAGGACAACCCTGGGGGCACACCGTGACCGTCCCTGTGTCAAGGGTGTGAAAACTGGCCTGCCTTGTCCGTGAGCACCCGCTGTGCACCAGCCCCCAGGCCGTGGGGAGACAGCAGAGAGTCCGACCATGGGCCCACCTCAGGCCCCCAGGCTGGGGCACAAACAGGGCCCATCAGAAAAGGCCCAAACGGTGAACGTCCCATGAGGGGCCTCCTCTGGTGTGTGCACTGGGGGACTCCACCAGGATCCCCACTTCCAGGCACAGGGAGGCTAAGGGACTAGTCCCTGTCACATAGCAGGTCAGCAGCTGAGTCGGGACCTGCACTATGAGGTTCAAAGTCCGGGCAGGGGCCAGCATTGCTCTCGGACTGCGTCTCTCCCAGGCAGGGGGCGTCATGAGGGGCACATGCTGGCACAGCCTGGCCCTGAGCCGGTGTGGGGCTGAGAGGAGGCCCCTCCCGGGGACCCCTGCGTCCTTCACTAGCCGTGAAGCCTCGGGCGAGTTACTCACCTCCCCACACCTCGAGTCCTCACCGGTGACTCGGGGGCGACAGTAACGGCTCTAACTCCAAGCCACTGCGAGGACAGAGACACAACTGATGGAAAGTGCTCAGCACCCCAGCCTGCAGCAAGTGCTCAGAAGCCAAGCTGCTCTTACTGCTGTCACTGATTCATTTAATAAACTTTACCCACAAGCCCTTGCCCCAAGGTCTCCCAGTCTGCAGATGGAAAGGGGAGTGGAGGACTGGCACCAGGCAATGGGGCCCAGAGGAGGGAGCAAAGCCTATGCTTAGGAGGGGAGTGGCCCCTAAGCTGGTGGGATGGGGGACCATCCATGGGGTCTGGGGTGGGAGTGGAGGGGCAGCGTGGCATCCTCTCCTGGTCAGCCCTGTAACCACGCCCACCCTGGTGACCAAGGGACACTTGTGCCTCGACTCAGGCAGAAGGTCACTCCTCAGAGAGGGCAGTCCCTGAGCAGGTCTCCAAACATGGGGAGGGAGCCTAGAAATGCAGGTGCTGGCCCCCCCAGGGTGCTGACCAGGCGGTCCCCAGAGCGGGGAGCTTGAGGCTGTCCAGTGCAGGGCGGCCTGCAAGGCCCGGAAGGACCAGGTGTGAGCCTCAGGCCAGATGCGTGTGCACAGTCTCCCCTCCCTTGTGTCCTGCGACTCAGCTTCCGACTGAGGCCCCCATCGGCAGGAGAAGGCGCCCCCTCCATCCTTCTAGGCTCTCCCCTGGTCCTGCCTGGGTGGTATCTCAGGCCGGCAGATGGCCGCCAGGTGTTCCCATCCCTGCCATGGGCCCTCTGCAGGTCTAGGAGTTCGTGTGCTCACGGCCTGGCTAGCGCCCAACAGGGTGGCTCTGAAGCGGCCGGGGGTCCTCTCACACCCTGGGGCCCCCAGCAGCACTCCCCTCCCCCACTCGCCAGGGAACCCCGTGCTCAGTCTGGCAGGAACCACTCCCTCTTGTCTCCCGAGGTGCCCTCGGAGCCAAGCCCCTTCCCCTGAGGGTGAGGGTCTTTGCACCCATCCTGCCACAGCCTCCCGGGGGAGCCACGGAGCCCCATGGTTCCCTACTCACTTCTGTCCTTTCCTTGCAGGCTCCACTCGGGACCATGAGAGCAGGCTTCTCCGCGGCCCCCCGAGGGGCGAGGATGGCTGCCCAGCCTACTCCCCGAAGACCCCCTGGGACCGCCGCCTCCTCCTAGCGCCTGGACGGAGGGGCCATGCCTGGGGAGCAGCCCCGCGGAGCACCGCCCCCAACTGTGACGGGAGACCTGCAGCCCTGCCAGACGGCCGGCGGCACAGGGGGCCCCTCCCAGCCCCCCAGCCGGGGCGGCGCCCCAGCCAGCAGGACTGCCAAGGCCACAGGCATCGGGGCCCAGGCCGAGGAGGCCCCCGAAACCCAGCCATGGCAGGCCGGGGAGGTGGAGCTCCTGAGAGCCCAGTCTCTGAGCAGCACCCCGGGGAAGGGCGGCAGCCCCCGGGCCCCACCAGGGAGGAGCCACACACAGGCTCGCACCCGGCAGGTGGGCAGGGCGGACAGCGGCCCCCAGCAGCTCTACAGCCTGAGCATCGCGGGCTCGAGGGCCAGACCCGCCCCAGATGAGACCCCCGAGGGCCCACAGCACGATGCCCCCCGGCCCCCAGAGGCAGAGGCCCTGCCTGCCCCCGGTGAGCTCAGCTTCCCAAGGTGCTTCCAGGAGACCCCCTCCACCTTTACCTCCACCAACTATACCTCACCGAGCGCGCCCCCTGGGCCCCCACCCCGCAGGGCCTCCCGGGGCCGCAGCACCAGCCCCCAAAGGCCGGCCTCCTACTTGGAATTCCAGGTCAGCGGACCCAATGCCTGGCCTCCCGCTGCTGAGAACAGCTTCCCAGGTGCTAGTTTCGGGGTCCCCCCCACCGAGTCGGAGCCTTTTCCTGAAGGTGGCAGCCCCGGGGGGGTCTCCTTCCAGTTCCCCTTTCCTGCGCTGCATGGGGCCAGCCTGAAACCCTTCCCCGAGGACACAGCCGGGCCTGAGTACCCCGAGAGGGCGCTGGTGTTTGCCTTCCACCCACCTCGGGGAGCGTGGCCAGAGGAGGCGGTGGGCACAGGCCTGGCCTACCCCCAGCCTGCCCGGCCTGCGCCCCCACCCCCACCCTGCTATCCCGGCCGGCCCAGCGGCCCCGAGGCCACCAGCGACCTCGCCGGTGCTCTCCCCACCACTGGTGCTGCTCCCTCGGCCCCCAGCTCCTTCTCGGAGAGCACAGCCACCTTCCCAGACAGTGTGCCCAAAAGAATGACCCAAGCCCTCCCCGAGAGACCGCCTTCAGCCCATGATGGGCTGGGGAGCCCCAGGGGGCCCCCAAACTCTCTGCCCCAGAGGCACTTTCCTGGGCAGCCTTATGGAAGCCCCAGAGCCAGCGGAGTGGGTACCAGCCCAGGGTCTCTAGACACAGAGCTGGCTGCCCCAGGTCCCCCACCCACCAGGCTGCCCCAGCTGTGGGAACCTCCCACAGCCCCTTACCCCACACATGCCCTGGGTCCCCCGGCTGCCACAAGGAGTGCATTCTTTGAAGGCCAGCCCAGCCCAGGCCAGCAGCTCGGGCTCCCCCAGAGTTCCCCTCTGCCCTGGCCCCAGGCCCTCCCGGCTATCAGGCCCAGCACCCACAGAATGGAAATGCTGAGCCGGCTGCCCTTCCCGCCAGGGGCCCCCGAGTGGCAGGGAGGCAGCCAAGGAGCCCTAGGTGCTGCCGGCAAGACGCCCGGGCCGGGGGAAAAGCTGGTGGTCCTGAGAAACAGCCCCGGCCGGCACAGCAGCGGCTCCCCTGGGCTGTTCACCTACAATGGGCTGAAGGACCCTGGAACCCAGCCCCTGTTCTTTGGGGTAGCCCAGCCGCAGGTCTCACCCCGAGGGACCCCCAGCCTGCCACCACCCAGGGTGGTGGGAGCCTCTCCCAGTGAGTCCCCGCTGCCCTCGCCCGCCACCACCACGGCCGGCAGCAGCACCTGCTCCTCACTCTCACCGCTGTCCGGCAGCCCGGCCAACCCCAGCTCCGAGGAGAGCCAGCTCCCCTGCCCGCTCAGGCCCTCTTCCTTCTACCAGCACTCCACTCACGCCCAGGAGACCAGCAGCCCCTTCCCGTCCCCCGAGCCCTCACACGCCCTCCCCATCCACTACCAGCCAGAGCCCGTCAAGGCTTTCCCCTTGCCCACAGAGGGGCTGGGGGCCGACGGCGCCTACAAATGCCTGGAGGAGGCCCCGTTCCCCAGCACGGGCCCTGAGGTGGGCAGCAGGGGGCTGGAGGTCTTCCCCCGGGAGCCACCCCCCTACTCTGCACACCACTTCCCCCTCAGCAGCGCCAGCCTGGACCAGCTGGACGTGCTGCTCACTTGCAAGCAGTGTGACCGGAACTATAGCAGCCTGGCCGCCTTCCTGGAGCACCGGCAGTTCTGCAGCCAGCTTCTGGCGAGGGCCAAGGATGGCCACCAGCAGTCCCCAGGGCTCCCCACACCCCCTGCCGCCCCCTCCATGCTGGCCACTCCCAAAGCACCAGCCAGTGGGAGCCCAGGCCTGCTCAGCCACACCAAGATGGTCCCCTTTCTGCTGGGTGGGGACGTCCGGGCAGATGGCAAAGATGACCCCCTGAGGACGAGCTTCTTGCCCGGCCTGGCTGCTGGCCCCTTCCCGCTCCCTGCTGCAGACCTGGACCTGGAGGACGAAGCCAAGCTGGACAGCCTCATCACCGAGGCGCTCAACGGCCTGGAGTACCAGTCAGACAACCCTGAGATTGACAGCAGCTTCATCGACGTCTTCACCGATGAGGAACCTTCCGGCCCCAGAGGTCCCAGTGCTGGGCAGCCCTCCAAGATCAGAGTGGGGGCAATGCCAGAGAGCAAAGCCCAGCCCCAGCTCCCAGCAGTGGCTGCCCTGCTGGAGCCCCAGGCTGCCCGCCCTGGGGACGGGGGCTACCCAGCCCACAGCAGGCCCAAAACCCGCTCCCTGGGTCCAGCACCTGCGGAGGCAGACGGGGCCAGCCCGGCCAGCCAGCAGAGGAGAGGGAAGCAGTTTAAGTTGTTCCAGAAAGAGCTGGACACCGTCAACACTACCAAGAGGCCCGGCAGGGGCACCAGAGCCACCCACCCAAGGCCAAGGAGGAAGGGGGACAGGGCTGAGCCGATTGTGCCCCGCCCCCGGGACCTCAGAACCCAGGCCCCCAAGAGCCATGCAGATCCTGACGGACAGGCTGTCCCCGTGGAGACCAGGAGTTCCAGGCGCCTCCGACTGTCCCCCGGGAAGGATTCCAGGAGGAGGAAGACGCGGGGTGGCACCTGGAGCAAGGAGCTCATCCACAAGATCGTGCAGCAGAAGAACAAGCGGCACGGCCGGCCGGCGCAGGGCGGCCCCTGCTCTCTAGTGCCCGAGAGGCCCCCGCGTGGCGCCACAGATGGCGGGCCCCGGGAGTACGACTACGCCTCCGAGTCTGAGGAGGAGGACAGCTCCCGGCCGCGGGGCCCCCACTTCAGAGGCCGGCCCCGCCATGGCAGCCGGCGGTGGCACCGAGGCAAGAAGAGGAAGGGAGCAGACTTGACCCCAAGTCCCAGAGAGGGAGGAGAGCAGCAGAAGCCCAGGAAGGTCGTGAGGCAGGGAGCCATGAAGGGTGGGGGCTCCCCCACCCCACAAGAGCCAGGTGGGCATTGCCCAGGCCCCAGCGAGAGCCCCGAGGCCAGAGCAGGCCTCCAGGAGAAAGGCTCCACATGTCTCCTGCAGGTCCCCGGCAGTGCCAAGACCCCAGAGGAAAACCGTCTATCGCTGGACTTCTCTCAAGAGACCAAGAACCCTGAAATTGCTGACAAGCTGCCCCCTGACACCACAAAACTTCTCAGAGAGGTTTCAAGCTCTTCTCCAGCCATGTGTGTGGGAGGAAGCCCCCCAGCCCCAGAGCGACCACAGTCCAGCAGAGAGGACACAGTGAGGCTCCGGGGCAGCTCGCCAGCTCCAGGGGCGGGCAGTCTGCTGGGAGAGCCCCAGGGCCCGGAGCCGCCCATCTCCCAGGACAGAGAGGAACCCCCTGCCTGCCCACCAAGAGAACTGCCGGTGCCTGTCGCTAATGCCACCAATGCTGCCTTCCCCAAACTCAGCACCCTGTTTTTGAAGACTCCAGATCTTGGTTGTGACCCTGCTGTGTTTAACAGAGACCCCGCGGGGGTTCCAGTTGCCAAAAAGGGGCCCCAGCCCTATAGCAGCCCCCACAGCAAGCTGTTCCTTGGGCCTAAAGACCTGGCCAGCTGTTTCCACGAAGACCTGTACCCCGAGCCCTCGGCTCCGGACACTCCGCCAGCCAACAGTGTGCACCTTCGCCAGGATGGTGTGGACGCCAGTTCCCTTGAGCCAAAACCTCCCAGGAATCCACCCTACACGGTCGACACAGACCCAGGCGAAGCCAGATTGCCACTGACCTTGGAGTCCCCGCCCCTTTTCTCCGGGCTGCCTGTGGACGGCTTCGACCCGCCGATCTACAGCAGCCTGTCTGGAAGTGGGGACGCCCACTCTCCATGTGCATGTGCCCACCCTCCCCCGAGGAAACCCTTGTCAGATCCACCATACCCATCGTTTCTGCCCGAAAAGGGCTGGTCCCTGCTGGAGGACGCGTCCTCCATGCTGCCCAGCCACATGGGCCATTTTCCTGACCTCTCAGAGGAAAAGGCATTCAGCAAGAAGTGTCCCCCTCCAGGGACAAGAGCCACCAGCTCTCCCCCTCTACCTGGCAAAGTTACTGAATGTGGCGTCACTTTTATGAGCAACCTGTCTGAGGACGAGTTAGAGATCAAGAGATTGGTCACCGAGTTAGAAAGTCAGCTGAAAAGGCAAGATGTGCACGCGGCCCCAGGAGGGCTGGGCAGTGCTGAGCAGGCGGGTGGGGTGCCCTTGGGCCCGGGCACCCCTCTGCCCATCCCCCAGGCCACCCCATCCTGCGAGGACTCACTCTCCACAGCTGGCCTCACCAGTCTTGGGGAGTTGAGTCCACACCCGGAAGGGGCACAAACTGCTGTGGCCGCTGCAGAGGGGCCTCCGGGGAGCCCCCAGGAGGAGTGGCCCGCATTCCACGCTGGAAAAGCAGCTCTTCCCTGCAGCGCCCACAAAGATGTGGCTTCTGGGGCTCCTTTCAGCCCCACGGAGGCCCGCCTCAGTTTCCAGCCGGTGCAGAAAGACATAGTCTCCGAGATGGGGCCCCCCAAGCCAGAAGGGGACTGCCAGTTCTGCCCAGAAGTCCCTGGCCCCGGAGAGCTGCTCAAGTCCCCGTTGGACGTGGGAAAGTCAGCAAAGTGCAGCCCAAGCCAGGAGCCTTTACTTCCTAAGAACAACAGGGCCACCAAACTCCATCGAAGCAACACCCTCCTGCTGCCCCTCCCCAGCACATGGGGACAAGGGAGTCTCCCAGGAGCCCATGAGGCACACAGGCCCTGCAGAGAGCCCCCCGAGCTGGGAGCGTTTGGCAGCCCCACTGCCCATCTGCAACCTGACTTGGTGTTTCGGGGTGCCAGGATTCTGTCTCCAGGTGCCACCCCACCTACTGGTGCCAGTCACAGCGAGACCACCAAGGGACAATCTGTCAGCAGCGCAGGTGGGCCAGAAGGAGCGGGTCTCCCCCACCCCATGGTAGGGGGCCCCGGCTTTGAGGGTAACAAGGAGCTGGTCCCAGTGGGGGCCTCCCCGAGTCCTGCCTGCACGCCCGATGCCAGTCCTGGCGGGAGGCCCCAGGACCCAGCTGCGAGCCCACTGCAGCAACTCCAGCTCCTAGTGGCCAGAGCGGCTGAGAGGGAAGGCGAGGCCTGGGGCTCCCAGGAGCCCCCACCTGCCGATGCCCAGAGCCCTCAGTGCAGCCAGCCCTCAGATCTGGAAGGGGACAGTGTGGAAGGTGGGAGCATGGCCTGCAGCCCCACCCGGGGCTCCCTGGGAGGTGCACAGATGACAGCTATCCCTGCAGTGGCTGGACGTCAGCCAGGGCCAGAGGCAGATGGACGTCTGGGCATGCTCAGCCAGGCTGAGAAGCCCAAGGGCCAAGGCCAAGCCAGCCAGCTGCAGCCAGATAAGAGGGGGAGCTGTGGGAGGCCGGGTGACCTCGCCACAGTCAATGCCAGTCCTGAAACTGCTCTGGCCAGGCCAGCCATGGGTGCAGACCAGCTAGGGGGACAACTGCAGGAAGGCAGGGTGGCCTTGGGCCCACAGAACGAGGCACAGGCCACCCCAAGTCCCGCCTCCTCCGATTCGGAATCTTTGCTCCCGGCCTTGGCAGCAGCCCATGCCCAAAGTGGGCCTGAGGACCAGACCCGAGAGGAGGCGGCTGGCCCAGGCCTTGAGAAGCAGTTGCTGCTCGCTGGGGAGAACCCAGTGCCCACCACCAGCAACCTGGCCAGCTGGGCCCCTTCGCTCCCATCCTCAGCCACCTCCGTTCCCTGCGGCCTCAAGCACCTGCCCCAGGAAGACCCTCCATCAGCTCATTCGGGGGCTCTGAGGGGGCTGCTCACAGCCTCTCCATCCTGCGGGTACCCTAGCAGCCCGCAGCATCTGCCGGCACCTTCTCCTGCCTGGACACCTCCGGAAAGGGCCGACTGCACCCCAACCCCCACTGACCTATCTTTGAGGACAAGCCCCTGTGGCCTCAAGGAAAGCCCAGCTTACCAACCCTTCCTGGGGGACCACAGACCCCTGGGAGACCCTCCCACGGGCCGGCCCAGCTTCATCGGTGTCTTCACTCCCACCCATCATGGGGACAACCCTGAAGACCACATGTCAGGAACCCTAGAGGTTTCCAGGAATGAGCAGCTGAGGCTGTCTCCTACCTGTGCTGCCCCTCCACCCCCAGCGAGGGCCGTCTCCCTGAGAGTGACCGTCAAGGCTGCTGCCCTGCCCACCACAGAGGGCATGGGGGCAGTGAGAGGCCCCAGGGCCAAGCGGCCAGACGCTCACTGCAAGGGAGCCCTGCCCCGCACCAGCCCCAGCGGGATCCCCAGGGACCCCTCGTCAGAACCCCCAGGAAACAGGGAAGGCCGCAGCATCCCCACTGCGCCCACTCACCCTTCCACACAGGGGGCCGTAGGGCCAGAACCCCACGCCGGCCTGGAAGGCGAGGCAGGGGCCAGCCTCCAGGGACAGGAAGTCCTGGAGACACCTGAGGCTGGGCACACTGGCGTTACAAGGGCACCTGAAGCTGGCACCAGAGGCCTGACGGTCACCCACCCTCCTGCAGAGCTCCACCTGGGCAGAGCCGTGTCCCGGAGGAGCAGCATAGACAGTGACTCCAGACCCAACTCCCCGCCAAGCCTCAGAAATATCCTCCCCCAGACACCTCAGGGGGACCCCCTCAGCCCTCAGGACCCCAGACAGAAGCCTCGTTGCTTTAAAAAGAAGCCTGTGACCACTGAGAACGGCCACTGGAAGGACCGAGCCCCCCACGGGCGGCCTGTGGCCTGTGAGGTCTGCTCGGCCTCCTTCCGCTCCAGGCCAGGCCTGAGCCGCCACCGAGCCAGGAAACACGGGCTGCACAAGGGGGCTCCCTCCCAGCCAAGCCCGCCAGCCCTGCCCGCCCCCCAGCCCGCAGCCCGGACATGCCGCCCCCCCGGGAAGAAAAGCCGCAGGGCGCCTGGGAAGGAGAAACCGAGGCGCTCGCTGAGCAGCCCCAGCCACATTCTTGGGCCGCCTCCTGTCCAGGGCTCCACAGCTCCTGAGGACGCCCTGGGTCCCGAGACGTCCGAGGAGCTTAGACAGGGGCTCGGCGTTCTGGGAACCCCAGGCTGTCCCCTCAGCCGGGAACCACACTCCCCAGGCCTGGTCAAGCAAGGAGCGGATGTGAGGTCTGCAGAGCCCAGGAAACGGGACCAGCTGGACAAGAAGGAGCACCATCTCAAACCAGCAGAGAAGGGAGGAGGCCAGAGGCGGGGCAGAGCGCCCACAGACTTGCCCAGCGAGGCAGGAGGGAAGTCAAACAAGAAAGCGAGGAAGCCCAGAGCGAGAAGGTTCCGGGAGGAGAGCAGTGCTCGAGTCTCTCCTGATGCGATTTCAGATACAAGCAGCTGGAATCCATCAACTGTGATTGCCAATTACCCAGTCCTCCCCAGCCGCTGCCTCTCACCTGAGGCAGAGCAGGAGACCCAGGTCGCGCAGCCGCCTCTCATGGCCACGGACCCAAATGAGACTCCCACACAGAAGTCACCCGGGGATCAGGTGGCCCATTCAGGGAGAAGGGAGGGGGCACTTGCTGGGGAAGGCCCAGGGGTGCAGAAGGCAGCCTTGGCAGGGGGATGCTGCGGTCCCAGAGAGACCAGGACCTCGGGTGTCTATAGAGAGCCTGCAGGGGACAGCAGAGCTGCCGAGAGCCGGTCAGGGCACGGTGTCTGGGAGGGGCACAGGCCTCCCTCGGGCTCCCCAGGCCCCCCCGACACTTGTGGTTCTGAAGCCAGTGGCACGATCAGCAGTCACCTCCAGGACCCCCAGCGCAACCTGGAAGACGGGGTCCAGGAGCATGAGGGCACCACTCCCGAAGCCCCCAGCCCGGGTCTCGGGGACCCTCTGAGCCTGTTTGATGACGAGGCCTCTTTCTCCCAGCTCTTCCCTCTGGGTGACCGCTGGACTCGGAATAAGAACCCCCATGTCTACGGGAAGCGTGGGAAAAAGCTGAAGCCCCCGCCACTGCTGGAGCCCAGCCGCGACGGGGCAGGCAGCGCAGCCCCGCCCTCCCACCTGCCCACAGACCTCAGCGACTCGGGCTCGCTCTGCCTGTCTCACGAGGACCCCTGGGGCGATGAGGCCACAGGTCTGCCCGAGTCCTTCCTCCTGGAGGGCTTCCTCAGCAGCAAGGTACCCGGCATTGACCCCTGGGCCCCTGGCCCCAGCCTGTGGGCCCTGGAGCCCGAGCTGGAGGCGGACTGTGCGGAGGAAGCGCCCTCCTGCCACGCCGAGGAACACCGGGCAGAGAACATCCCTGAGCTGCACATGGTCCCGGCGGCCTGGCGAGGCCTGGAGCTTCGGGCCCCCTCGGAAGAGACTGCCTCTTCTCTTGGAGACGTGAGCCCTGAGCCGCCTTACCTGGAGCGAGAACGCTATGACAGTGGGCTCCCCGGGAACACTGTGGATCTCAAGGTGCTCAGCACCAAGCTTGAGATGCAAGACCTGAGCTTCTTAGGGCCCTGTGAAGACCCTGTGGGTCTCCCTGGCACAAGCTTCTTAGACTTCAAGGCCACGGCAAACTCCCAGGGGCCACGGAGCAAAAGGACAGAGGAGGCAGCCGGGGCCAAGAGGGCCCCAAGCAGAGATGGGCACGCCAAGGCCAGGAGGGCACCCTACAAGTGCAGGGTGTGCTTCCAACGCTTCCATGGCCTGGGCGAGCTGGATCTCCACAAGCTGGCCCACAGTCCCTCGCCGCCCCCCACCTGCTACATGTGCGTGGAGCGCAGGTTCGGCTCTCGCGAGCTGCTGCGGGAGCACCTGCAGGAGAAGCACCTGCAGGGCAAGGCGGGGCTGTGGGTCTGTGGCATGTGCCTGAGGGAGCTGGCTGACGTCTGGATGTATAATGAGCACCTACGGGAGCACGCCATGCGGTTTGCCCGCGAGGGGCAGGCACGGAGGTCCCTGGGGGCCCTGCCTGGATGCTGGGAGGGGGACAGCGCAGTCACGCACTTCCTGAGCAGCATCATGGGGCAGGTATCCAAACCCCACAGGGGAGTGCACTCGATTGGCAAGACAAATGGGGGCCCCACAGAGGCATCGGGGCGCAAGCCGGGAGCTGAGAAAGAGTTCCTGAGGGAGAGGGCCAAACCCAAGGCCACTGCCAACAACTCAAACCAAGATGGCGCCTCGGCACCAGAGAGAGCCTTGGGCAAGGGCAACCCGTCAGCCTGTGTGAACCCCGCTCCACCCTGCGGCTCTGCCAAGACGTCCCCTCGCCCGTCCCCCGACCCCTGCTCCAGCAACGAGCCCCTCCTGCAGGCCATCCCGGTGCACGAGGACTGCAAGGACCCCTCCCGCGACTGCCACCACTGCGGGAAGCGCTTCCCCAAGCCCTTCAAGCTGCAGCGCCACCTGGCGGTGCACAGCCCACAGCGCGTCTACCTGTGCCCCCAGTGCCCGCGGGTCTACTCGGAGCATCGTGAGCTGCGTGTGCACCTGGGCGGGGAGCACGGGGTGCAGGAGGAGCTGGAGCTGCAGCACACGCCGCTGTACGCCTGCGAGCTCTGTGCCAACGTCACGCACATCAGCAAGAGGTCCTTCGTCTGCAGCTCCTGCAACTACACCTTTGCCAAGAAGGAGCAGTTCGACCGACACATGGACAAACACCTGAGGAGGGGGCAGCCGCCCTTCACATTCCGCCGCGTGAGGAGGCCCGGCGCCCCCGGGCAGAAGGCCCCCGCCCGTGAGGGCACACTGCCCAGCAAACGGCGCAGGGTGGCCGCGCCCGGCAGTTCCCCGGGGCCCAGCATGGACAAGCCTTTGTCCCGGAGCAGCAGCCCCACCCTGAGCGAGGGGTCCCCCCCAGCCCTACTCCAGCCCTGCCCAGAGGCAGCTCCTGGCACCAGCAAGGGGCAGCCCGGGACCCCGGAGAGGCCTGGAGACCCTGTGGGCCACCCAGTTGGGGGGAGTGATCTACCCTCTGACCTCCAGGAGCTCTTGCCCCCATCTCTGTCTCCCTTCCCGGCAGCCTCAGCTGATGGCGAAGATGGCCACAAACTGGGCCGAGCCGTGAAGAACTCCGAGGACAAGGCTTCCCCAGGCAGTCCTGGGCCTCTTCCCCAGCAGGCTCTCCCACCAGGGGAGTCTCTGCCCCAGCCAGGGGTCAGAAGCCAAGACGCCGAGGAAAAGAGGGCTGTGGACCCCTTCTCTGGGAAACGCAGGACCTGCAGTGTCCCTGGCAAACGTGCTTCTGACCATCGCCCGGAAGCCCCCTCCCCACTCCAGAAGGAGAAGCAGGTGGCCACAAGCCACATGGTGCCTGACGGGGGCACAGGGAGCCCCTCCCACAAGGGCAGTGCCACCAGGCCTGGGGGTGGCCGGAGTTCTTCAAAAGACAAGTCAGCCCTGTCCACCCCCCGCAAAGCACCCAAGTTCCTGGTGCAACTGAAAAAGGCCATGGCCAGCCCGGCACCTGGAGATCCAGCCTGCAGCACTGAGGACAGGCCAAAGTCCACCTCCCTCAAAGCCAAGCCTGGCCCCAGCGCCCAGGGCGGTGGAGGCCTGAGGCACGGCACCAAGACAGCAGGCGGCAGCCAGCCCCAGCCAGCCAGTGGGCAGCTCCAAAGTGAGACAGCCACCACCCCAGCCAAGCCCAGCTGCCCAGGCCAGAGCCCCACCCCAGACAAGCCCCTCCCTCGAGCCCCAGACAGGGGCTTCTCCAAGGGACCAAGGGAAGCTGGTGACCAGGGGCTCCGAGGGAGCCTGGGCCCCAGGGAGGGTGGGGAGGGCGGTGAGAAGAAGAGAAAGGGCCGGGCTCTGGGGTCGAGCAGGAGTGACAGTGGGGGGGGCTTGGGGAGAACCCCCCCGGTCCCTGACAAACCCCTTAGGGCCCCCCGAAAGCAAGCAACTCCCAGCCGCCTGCTCCCAGCCAAGCTCAGGCCCAGCAGTCAGAACAGCAGGACGCCCCCCCAGCCCTCAGAGCCGCGGAAGGCAGAGCCGGGCCACACCCACGGGGACAGCAGGCGCAGCAAGGAGGGGCCTGGCAAGGCCTTTCCCTCGGGGAGACCCCTGCACAGGCCCCCCAAGAGAGGCAGAGCTGTCCACGGTGCTGAACCCGCCACCTCCCGTGCCTGTCGGACGGCGGAATCCCAGAGTGACCTCCTCAGCCAGCTCTTCGGGCAGAGACTAACCAGCTTCAAGATCCCTTTGAAAAAGGACCCTTCTGAGTAATTTATAGGAGCAAGTGAGTGCCTGGGAGCAGGTCTGGGGATGAACCCAGTGAATGGGGGACTCCGTGCTATGCCACCAACCTTCAGTCCTCCGAGATGGTTTGCTTGGTGGACGTGTCTTAATCCACTTGACTTAACTATACCAATGCGCAGACTTTGGTGTTACAGCTGAGACTGGGATGCATTGAGTAGGGCCTGGGGTGGACAGTAATCCCTTTCTAGCTGGAAGGTAAGGATGAGGGGCGGGCCAGCTGCAGCCTCTTTGAGACCATGAAGCTGTTTTCTAGGTACCAGCTCATGCCCCCTGCCCCAGCCCCGTGTGCCCCCTTGCTGAGGCACAGTAGCCACAGAATCCCCATTTGAAGGTTTGCACAGGGTCCCCCCCATGTCATCTAGCAGGGAAGTAAGTGGAGGCAGCTGCAAATAAGATGGTGGCAGCCTCCCTTAGTCTTGTTGCTGCTGTTCCTGGAACTCCAAAGTGACCTTAGAAATCAAACAGGGGGACAGGGCTCTCCACCATTCCTGAGCCGCCCTGCCCTCCAGTGCACAACAGCCCTTCTCTGACCACAGGGTCGTGCCAGCCACTGTCCGTGCTGCCAAGGGAAACACCGGTCTCCAGTGCACCTTGAACCCTGGGGACCAGGCTCCCATTCGGAACGTGGAGAAAGCTGCTCACGGGCAGCTCTGCCGGTCCTGCCTCCCCACGCGCCTCGGCCCCCACCCCAGGCTCTGCGATCGCCCTTTCTAGAGCCTTCCTCCCACGCGGAGCTGTCGGCTGCGAGTGTCAGCAGTTCTACTCTGAAGTTTCTGGTGCTATTTCATGACGTAATGTGAATACTGGCTTCCCTGGTGTGTTTTCCCTGGGGAGACGGGGTTGGGAGGCGCAAGGGGCTGCACAGAGGCCCACGGGCACCAGCAGCCCGAGAAGTCTTTCACTGGCTCCTGGCCACCGGCAGGCACAGTAGGAGCAGCGGGACGGGGCCCTCAGAGCCGGGGTGTGGCGCTGCCGCCCGGTCGCCGAGGTGCCCCATGCACTGACATGACCCGGGGTTGGCCCGCACGTCCTTCTCACAGAACCGTGTCTTGAAAGGGCCCTGGAGGGTGGAGAGGCGCCTTCTGCTCTTAGGAATCTCCGAGGCTCGTGGTCCATTCCGTTCTGTTTTTTCGTTTTTACCTTGGGTGCAATGTGTATGTCAGAAGTTTTATTTTAATATTTCAAAAGAGACCAAATCGGGCCCGAATCACCTTTCAGAATGCCTTTGTGCTAATAAATAAAATGTGGGGCCTCTGAGGTTGTACTGGACAAATCACAGCGGACGCATCCTCTCAAATATATTCCCACTGTTTGCACGGGCGCCTCCTCCGGCCGTGGCCTCCATCCTCCCACCAGCCCCGCCCTGCCCGCCCAGGAGCCTAGGACCTGGCTCAGAAAGCCTGGGCTTCAGCTGCTGCTTCCTTGCTGTCCCTGGGCACCTGGCCCTGCAGAGCTGCCCCGAGCAGCACTGGGGCCCCCCAGCTCCTCAGGCTTGTTAACCTGGCACATAAGGCCACGGCACAGCCTCCTTTGTTTCCAGGCTTCACAGCTCAAGGGAGTGGAACAGGGAGAGTAAGTGTTGGGAGATAATTATCAGGGCTCAGTTTCGGGGACCCAGGAACACCGGCAGAGGCCACAGGAGGGGGTCAAACCAGGAGACCCTCCCCCACCACAGGCTCAGAGCCCTGGGGCCCGCCGTGTCCTAAAGACCCGCAGGGGGAGCTGTCCAGAGTCACGGACATCCTGTCCTGATCTTGAAGGCCGCTGGGGCCCAGGCAGGAGGGGGCTGTTCAGAGCAGCCCGCCAACACCCACTGGGGAGGGGGAGGGGAGCCCCGCCCAGCTCCGCCCACAAGGAGAGGAATCACACACAGGCAACCGTGGGGTTTCGACACTGCTGTACTGCTGTCCGAGCCCTCGGGCCTCTGCCCGACCCTCACACTCCCCTGCCAGCCCCTGTCCACCGGCGTCCTGTCAGGCCCTGGCCTGGCCAGTCCCCTCCACCAGGAGTGCCCTCCCCAGGTCCTCTCCCTCAGTCTCAGCCCCTCTCATCGATGCGTGCCGGGGTGGGTCACTATGAGTGACTCGGCAAGGCGCCTGGCCATCCATCTGCACCGACACGCGTACTGTGCACTGGGAAAGGAGCCAGAGGCAGCCCCTACCCTGGGGGGCTTTGATCTCCTCAGGGTCTCTGCAGTGGGGCCTGGGGCAGGGGGCACTGAGTGCCGCAAAGAGGGGCACGGGGCTGGGATTTAGGGTTGGGGTAGATGGAGTCTGAGCCTCGTTTGAGGAAGCCCATCTGGGGACTTGAGGGTGGAGACTCATGGGGCCAGTGGGGCCGCAGGACTTCATGCCCCCGTTTAGCTCACCATGGCTCCATGGCCCGGGGCCAGCAGCATCCGCGTAATGGATGGAATGATGGAAATTCCAGGCCTCCGCCCCAGACTGCAAATCCGATGCTCTGGGACCACCTGCGCGCCAGCCTGTCCCACGCCCTCGGGACTCACCGCTGCTCTAGTCCATTCAGGGCCTGGCCGAGCGAGCCCAGTCCCCTGCATCCTGAGCCCATCCTGCAGCCTGGAGACCCAGGCGTGGTCGGTGCGTGCCTGGCCAGCAGGTGGCAGCATCCACCCGGCTCAGCTGCCCTGGGCAGGGCAGCTCAGCCACCAGGCCTGCAGGCAGCGGGCGGTTCCCAGGTGGCCTCCAAGCCCCAAGTGCACACACGACAGACCCACGGGCCCCCAACCTCACCGATGAGCCCAGAGACATATGCGGACTACACACATGTGCGCCCTCCTCCACACACTCACACACACCCACACAGGGGCATGTGCACTCACAGGCCTGCTGGCCGGGGACACACAGAGGTGTACAGACACCTGTGGCTGTGAGAGCGGGAGAGTGGCCAGGGGTATGTCTGGTGTCGGGCAGCCCTCGAGAGGTCCCAGGCAGGAGTCTCAAGGGCCCTGTGTGAGCAGAGGAGTGGGCCGGACAGGACAGGAGAAGGTGCCAGCGGGAGTGACCTGAGAGCCCAAGGAAGCTCCCACCACCTGCAGCTGAGAAAACGGAGCCCAGGCCCCCACCTGCCCCCGAGGGTCCTCTGCCCTGGGCCCCGAGGGCCTGGCTTGCCCCATGTGGGAAGCCAGTGCACCCCCAGGCCGTGCTGCAGGATCCCTCAGGGGCCACCGCGAGGTGAGCGGGGCGGGCAGGTAGAGGCGAGTTCACGGCAGGATCACGTAAACGGCTGTGTGGCTGTGTCGTTGAGCAGCATCCCCTGCAAGCCTCCAAAGTGCAATGCCAACCAGCCCTCGGCCCCACCACCCCGGAGACGGAGGCGGGTGGGAGAGAAGATGGAGCAGGTGGAGGGACGGGCTGGAGGCACGTGCGGTGTGGACAGAGCGGAGAGACAGCCACAGGTGGAGGGAGCAGCGGGCCGGCCCCCGGCCCCCAGGCCCCGTAAGGGGAGGCCCACCTGCCCTGGGAACTGCCTGGAGCATGGCACTGAAAGCGGGTTCTCCTAAGCTTCGGGGCCAAGACGCCTCAGAGCCTCCATCTCCAGGGAGAGTGTGCAGATGGCCATGCTCACACTGCGGGAAGAATCTGGATAGAAAGGACCCCACAGAGATGGCCTCAGACGAGCAAACAGCTGCCGGGGAAGTGGGGAGTCCTTGTCACTCTGGGGTGGCCAATGTCGGGGTTCCTGGAAGCACCCCACATGAGGGGATGGGACGTGGAGGCCCATGCGTCCTGCCCCTATCACCTGTGAATGTGCCACGCGTGGGCTCTGAAATCCAGCCCTGAGGCCACGTCCCTCTGGTCCCTGCTTCTCCACCCGTCCAGTGGGTGGGCAGCACGCAGGTCATTTCTCAGAAGGCCTGCCCTCTGAGCCCGAGGGCCCGCCGCAGTGCAGAGTGTCCCCCAGGGATGGCCTCGTGGAGCCCCTGGCCCACTCTCCTTCCCACCACTCTGGGCCTGGGCACCCAAGGCCACAGCCGCTTTCCCACAGGGCAATGTCTCCCTCACCGACGGGCCAGCCTGGCCTTGTGGGCTGCAGCTCAAGGTCATGGGCCTCCTCCCCAGGGGCCCCAGGCAGAGACAGTAGGCAGGACGAGGCCCAGGTTTGGCTGGGCCTGAACAAACTGCACCTCGGCCTGCGCTGCCGAGAGACCCTCGGGTCAGTGTCCGAGCCCGGAAGGAGGGTGCTGCGCTCTGCCAGCTCTGGGCTGGGGGCAGGACCCCTCGGGTTCACTACCATCCTGGCTGGGCCTCAGTTTTCCTGTCCATTAAATGGCACAACCATCACCAAACACTCTCCCGGCCCTGACCTGAGCGCCTCCCTCCGAGGGCTGGGTGCCATGGCTCCAGGACCTCTGCGTCTCACCGGCTCTGCCCGACCTTCTCTCCCTGTCCCTTTGGCACCCTCTCCACTTCAGGTCTGTACTCAGATGGCACCTCCTCTCTGTGGCCCCCCAGCCCCTGTTTAAGACGCAGGGACACCCCAGGGCCTGACCCCTCCCTGCTCTATTTATTGACGTTTGGCTGGGGACATGCTCCATGGCGGCCCACTCCACATCTGGGTCTGCTGTTCCCCTCCTGCTGGACTCTTGGTGATGAGCTGTGTGTGTGTTGTTCCGGTGTCAGAGTTGGAGCCCAGGACATCTGTGGGTGGGAAGAAGGAGGAAGGGAGCAGAGCGGTGGGGGGGGGGGGGGGGGTGGGGGGGTGTGTAGAGAGGGAGGAAGGAAGGAAGGAGGCAGACGGCGAAGTGTGCGCTTCCTCTCCGGGGCTGTGCCGCGTGACCCCAAGCCTCGGAGATTGGGAAATGTCCAGATAGTATTTCCTGTCTGCGCTCGGGACCGCCTTGCCCGGTGGGGTCCACGGGTGGCACGTGGGCAGCTGCTTGACAGGGTGGCTCTCACACACAGCCAAGGACGGTCTCCAGGTGAGAACCTGTGTCCCCGGATGTCAGAGGGGGCAGCCAGTTAGAGACGCTGTGTTAGAGAGGACCACGAACTGGGAGGAGATGGTGGCGTCCCACAGGGGCCCAGGCCGACTCTCTCCTGTCCCGCCGTCATCTGAGGCATGGGCAGTGGAGACCACACGGGGTCCCCGGCCACGGGCGGGACACCTGAGGTGGGTCTCCAGGGCCAGAGCCACCCCCACCATGAGCAGGGCGGCCGGAGCAGCAGCCCCCGCTCACGCCACCCGCCCCCGGTGGCCCAGGCAGCACTAGCTGTCCCAGGAGCTGCCCCTGCTCCTCTGAGCCCCTCCCACAGGCAGCCTCGCCATTCCCAACTTAATTTATTTTGACATCCTCGCTGCCGTTTGACCTCCTTATGACATCACGTGGTGCTTAAAACTCATTATCCCCCCGTTGAAGCAGGAAGTTAATTAAACCCTTCACAGAGCCAGTGTTGACAAACGTCAGGATGGCCCCTGGCGTGCTGCCCGGTGGCGCCAGGGCCTTGGGCTGACCGGCAGTGGGGGCAATGAGGCCTGGCGTGGGCAGGGGCCACGGGACAGATCCTGGGCCCCCTTCCCTCCAAGGCAGCCACCAGGGTCCATTCTGGGTGTGGATTACCTAGGGAGAGTTCGCCTCTGCCACTCATCTGCTCCGGGGCGTTGGGCAAGTGACTTCACTTCTCTGAGCCTCGTGTTACTTGTCTGGCAAACGGAAGTTCTAACAGTCCCTTCTTCAGAGAGCCATTATGAGCAGACAGTGCGTTGTTAGTGCTCAGCAGGGGCCTGGCACTGAGGAACCACCCATGACGTTCCTCCTCTTGCTGCTACTGTAAGACAACGGAGCTGCATGCTTCAGAAAGAGGCATCTGGGCCCTGCCAGCGGGAACAGAGAAGGGAGGCCTCACCTTGTCTGGGAGCAGCCAGAGGTTTCCCTGAGGAAGGGTAAGTGGGCCAGGCAGTGGGAGGGAAGGGTGCACCTGGCAGCAGGAACAGCCTGTGCAAAGGCCCTGTGGTCACAGGATGCCTTGACCCATGTATGAGGAGGTTCAGAAACAATGGTAAAGTGGGGCAAGGCGGGGCCTGCGGTTCTCACAAATGGCTTTTGGGAAAGTTCCACTGGCTTCAGCCTGCAGCAGGGGAACGAGTGGCCAGAGGGGACAAGCAAGTGAGGGACAACAGTGCTCAGGGTGACGGGTGACAGAAGCTTGGAGCAGGTGGGTGGTGGCAGTGTCTCAGGGGTGCCTCTCAGAGCTCTAAGGAGGTGAGGTGGGCAGGGAAGCAGCAAGAGGGCTCACGGTGGGCCTAGCATTCAGAGGCCCCTGGCCTGGGCTCCAGACACACTCCCCACGATGTGCTGCAGCCGCAGGCTTCCAGGCCCCACATGCTCAGCCCTCCTGCCCATGTACCTGCTCTTCCCTCAGCTGAGTGTGCCCTTCTCCCATCACTCTTTCTTGAGCATCCTCTTCATCCTTCAAGGTCCAGCTTAAGTTTCTAGCACTTAATTCTGTGGCTCCCTTGGTCATAGCCCCAAAACCAGTGCAGGGCCTGGCGCGTGGGAGCTGCCACCATTAGCCCCTTCCCCACCACAGCAACTGCCCAGCCCTGGGGCAGCCCTCCCGGGGCAGGGCAGCACGGAGCATGCCCACCAGGGAAGCTAGGCCCACAGGCCGCCAGCGCACAGGTCAGAGGGCAGAGGTAGACCAGGACGGGAGCCCAGAAGCACAGCGCTGGAGGAGCCCTGAGGCCACGCCCCACCCCACTTAAGGAGGAGGAAACCAGGGACCCGACTGGTTATGGACTCGCTCAGGGCCACGCCCTCCAAAATGGCAGAGCCAGGACTGGAACCCAGCGCTCCCGGCCCCCAGGCCAGGGTTAAGAACACCGGCTCTGCAGTGCGACTGCCTGGGGTTACATCCCAGGTCCACCACTTCTGAGCTGTAGAGCCACTCTGAGCCTCAGGGTCCTCATCACCACCCGACAGCCCTCTGGGTGCTGGAAAGCGTGTCTTATGTGTCCCAGGCCCAGCTCTGCCACCGTCTGCCTGGGTGACTCTGACGGTGGTAACCACCAGAGGGGTGCCCGTCACGAGACAACAGGAACCAGCCCAAAAGAACAGCTCAGTGAATACTGGTGATGCCACCGATGATGATGACATGGCCCCTAGAATGGACGCACAGGACAAAGCCAGGCCCAGGAGCCTTTCCTGGGCCCGGACACCCTCGGCACCTCCCCAGGAGGCCTGAGGGAGCCTTGGAACCAGCTTTGATCCAGTGAGCAGGGAACAACCAGGCTGTGGTTGGGGCAGCCCAGCTCCACGCAGTGTCTCCCGGCTCCACGGCAGCACAACCACCCGCCTGCGGTGGATGCCGTCCTTTTCTCTGCCAGTGACTTCTGGGTGTGAACCCTGGCACTCCCCTGGGACACACAGGGGGAGGCGGGAATGGGCCCCCCATGGGCAGCCCAGGCAGCTCAGCCTGGAAACCCTCAGCAACCCCACATGCTGCTGCTCCCCGCCCACCTGATCAGGGCCTCCTGAAAAACCCCACTGGGATGTCACCTCCTCCAGGCAGCCTTCCCTGACACCCCCAGGCAGAGGCAGTCGCTCCTGCTCTGGGGTCACACAGACTATCCTTTCAACAGCATTTCTTGCTCCTCTTTCCTCGGTTTATCCTCATTATCAACCGGCCTCCCCTGAGGGTGTGAGCCAGGTCCTGTGGCATGGCCCCTTATCCCCAGCGAGCTGCAGCTTCCCATTCTGTGCGATGGGGGTGGTAATATCCCCCTGCAGGCAGATGGGGGGTGCAGAAGAGAAGGAAACTACTCTAGAAACAGCTCTGGCCTGGGTCAGGGGTGTCACGGCCCTTCATGGGACCCCACGCTTGGGAAGAGCCCCACACTCGGTTCCATGCTCTATTGTCGCTGCCCTGAAATTCTTACATTTTTAACAAGAGGCCCCCCATTGTCATTTTGCAAAAGCCCCGAAAATGATGTAGCCGGTCCTAGTCGACAGCCTCTCTTTCTGACTCCTTCCTGACCCTACTTTGCTGGGCAATTGGGATGTGTCCCCTCTCTCAGAGTCTCAGCTTTTTCATGTGTCTATGAGCACAGAAGTGACCAAATCAATCTCTACCTTCTACTCCTGCACCCTAGGCAGACATCACTAATCGATCATGGCTCTCTGCACCCTAGACAGACATTGCTAATAGATCATGGCTCTCTTTCCCCTGCTGACCCTCAGAATCCTCCTCAACAGAGATCTCTGGCCTTTCCAGCAGCACCAACCTGGGAGTCACTTGCTGTGCATGGAGCCTCAAACCCAGCACAGATGTCAGACCGTGGCACCTCCTCCAAGAATCCCCCTGACTCCCAGGTTCCCATCCTGTAAAGAGGTCCCTCTTTGGGAATGGCCGCAAGGCCCAGGCAGGTGGGATGCCTCATCCAGTTGACAAACACTGTGGACGCCCTGGGCTGAGGGAAGCAGCCAGCCATGGGCCCCGTTCTCCCCAGAGGGGGTGCAGCACAGCTGTACAGGCTGCTGTAGGAAGGCTGCACCCCCTGGCCCTGGGCAGGGGTCAGGAAGAGCCGTGTGACCTTGGGTGAGTCTCTGATCTCCAGGCTTAGTGTCCTGTCTGTGCAGTGGTGAATGAGTGGTCCCGGAGTGGACCGCAGCCTCCTGCCCTGCCTGCCACTCTCCTGCCCAGAGGCCCTGAGAGCAGGAGCGGTGCAGGGGAGATGCCCAGGCTCCGGGGTGTCCCTTCTCCTCCTCCAAGGGGTGGGGGTGAAAGTGACAGGAGTCAGAACAAGGGGGTGTCCCACGGGTGGAGCGCGCAGCACCAGCCAGCCTCTGCACAGGATGGTGGTGATGATTCTCTGCCATCAGGTGGGCAGCGGGCCATCTGGACAGGCAGCCTCTCTGCACAGATCTTCCTCTCAGCGCCGGGCTCTGCTGACACCCTATTTCTTGTGAATGTGGGGAGAGGGGGAGGCACCACATGCAGGCCAAGAATATTAAAGTAAGAAAACACAGTTCAGCTCCGGAGCACAACCCCATATCTGCGTGACCGTGAGCCTCACTGGAAAATGGGGGCTCTCTGGGATCCCACAAACATATCCCAAAGGGCTCCATTTCCAGGGCTGGAACAGACAGTACTGACCCTAGGAACTTCGGTTCCTCTGCCTGTACCAGGCAGGGAGAGGGTGCGGGGTTCACTGGCCCGCGGAGGGTAGTCCTTCTGGGCCTCCGGCTGGAGCGTCCTGGAGCCGCACGGCCTGCAGAGGAGAGGCCGCAAGGGCAACGCCCAGAGGGCTGCAGCCGGGTGAGCAGGGACAGGCCGCTGGCTTCCGCGCCCTCCCAGATTTCCACCCAGATCTGAGCCCAAAGGAGGAGGACTCGAGGTCCCCCTCTCCATTTGGGGGTCACTGCCACTGGAGACGGCGGCCCCAGGGGATGCGCTTCCGCCGCAGTCTCGAGCGGAAGCCCCCACCCGGCCGGAGCCTGCTCCACACCCCAAACCTGGCCCAAGACCATGTGGGGCGTCAAGGCTTCGGTTCCTGACCAGGCCCTCACTGACCCCATCCAGTGGGCGGAGGGGGCGGAGAGCCTAGGGGGTCGGGAGCAGGCCCAGGCCCTGGGGGCGGGTTTACAGGGCAGTGGGGCGGAGCCATGGGCAGCCTGGGGGCGGGGAGGGGAGGAGCCAGGGAGCCAGGGGCGGGGCCTGGCCTGGAGGGGCGGAGCGGGTCGAGTCAGGCCTGGGGGCGGAGCTAGGCCGAGGGGTGCGTCCAGACAGGCCTGGAGCCCGGCTGGACGAAGTGCCGCGGGACTGCGGGGCGGAATATGTCGGTGAACAGTCCGAGCGAGGCCTGGAGACAAAGCTGCAGGGCCGAAGGAGGAGTCTTGGAGGCCCGTGGGCTACCGCGGGCCGGGGGCGGGGCCAGCACGGCGAAGGCGGGGCCGTGGGCGGGGGCGGGGCCAGGGCGGCAAGGAACCGACCGGCCCGGGGGCGTGGCCAGCGCTGTGCACGGGGTAGGCCAGCGAGGAAGAGGATTAGCCCGGGGCGGGGCGGACCGGCCTGCGCGGGCCGGGGCGGGGCCAGCGCGGAGGGGCGGACCCGGAGGCGCGGCGCGGGTGACGCGCAGGCCCCGCCCCGCCCCGGCCCGCCCGCCCCGAGCGCTCCGGCCGAGGCCGCCCGGTTCTCCGCGTTGCCCGCTCGTTCCATTGAGAAAAGCCGAGCGGCGGCGGCGGCGGCGGCGTCTGCGCGGGAGCCGAGGAGCCGGCAGCAGCCCGCCGCCCGCCGCCCCCGGCGGTCCGCGCGCCCGCAGCGCAGGGCCGAGCCTCTGGCCTCCGCAGCGGCGCCGGGCCGGGCACGGCGGGCTGGGGGCGCGGGCCGGGGCGGCCGCGGAGCCCGGGGGCTGGGGGCATGAACCGCCCCGCGGCCCCGCCGCGCCCCCGCCGCCCGCCGCCGCCCGCCAGGGGCTAGAGGCGGCCGCCGGGAGGGCGCGCGGCGCCGGAGACATGTCCAGGAGGAAACAGAGCAACCCCCGGCAGATCAAGCGTGAGTCAAACTTTGCCCGCCCGCCCCGCGGCCCCGACCCCCGCGCCCGCCCCCGCGCCCGCCGCCTCTGCCCGCCACGCCGACGACCTTCACCCCGCGCCGCGCCCCCCGCGCTCTGTGCCAAGCGCGCCGTAATCTAATCTCCGCCGGCGGGCCGGGCCCCCGCGTCTCGGCTCCGGCACCAGGGGTCCGGCCCGGAGGGGGTGTCCACCCAGAGGGCCAGGAGCGGGGTGGCTGGGGGCGCGGCCACCTCGCGGCCTGCCCCTCCTCCGCATCCCCGAGATGGTGCGGCGATAAGGCGGCCCCGATCTGGGCTCAGATAAAGTTTAAAATATTCCATTCTGCAAGTCCCATCCTGATAAGATCGCTCTGTCGGGACGGGCTGAAATTGTGATCTTATCTCACGCAGTTGACTCTCCCAGGCTTCGTATCTAGAGGGAGACAGAGAGAGACCTGGGAGGGAGAGGGGGCACCCGGGGCCGCGTGGAAATGAACGGCCAAGTGGCGGGGACTGGCCGCGCCACCACCACTGGTACTGCCAGCAGAGCCGCGTGGATGGCAGCTGGGTGCAGCTACTGCAGCCCATGCTCTCCGCTCCAGCCACTCAGACTCCCCGGGCCCTGTCGCCGGGGTCTGGAACTGGAGCTTTCCCTGCCTGGAGACAGCGTCCTGGAGGTCCGACCCTCCTAGTGTCCCGGCTTAGACCACACGGCCAGCAGACAGTGCGCTCGAATGCCAAAGGAGCCGCTCCAAGTCAGGGAAGGGGCTCCTGGGGACTCAGCCCCGCGCCAGGGTCGCCTCTGCGCGTGTCCAAGTTTCTCGCCCATCCGGCCCTCGGGCCACTCCTGGGGGACCGGGCGGCTGCTGCGTCCTCACTGCTGATGCCCTGGCGATAAGAGGGCCCGGCACTCTCGGGGCCACTCAGCTTCGAGAGGAGGGAGAGAGAGAGCGCACAGGAAGCGCCACTCCCCACTCCTCGCCATTAAAAACTTTGCGCCTCCTCGGCCAGAGCGGGGGGAGGGGCTTTCTCCAGGGGTCGCGTCTCCCAGGCCAGACAGGCAGGTTGTTGGGGCCTCCCGGGAGGCGACAAGGAAGGCCGGCGCGCTGCCCAGCTCCAGGCACCCGGACACTGCCACTTCTGTCCACATGACCACTGCCACCAGGACCCTATGTGCATGTGCCTGGGGGAGCGTCTACTCCGAGTCCCCCAGAGTGGGAAGGCAAGCACGAATCCGGGTTCCCGTAACCCGACTCCCTCAGTGTGCAAGTGGGACCTGTTTTCCGAAAGTCACCTTCTATCAAGTCAACTCAAGTATTAAAACCACCCACAGGTCCCGATCTGCGCTGCTCTCCAGTTTCTTTTCCCCTCCTCCCCTGTGCGCCTCTGTTGGGTCTGTTCTCGTGTGTGCGTGTGTGTTGGTGTTTCAGCATGATGAGAAATGCAGATAGCACGGGCAGGGAGATCGCAGGTTGGGAACCGATCGCCAGTACCGATAAGGTCTCAAAGGGCGCAAGCGTCGGGGCACAGCTGGGTCGGCCGAGCCCTGTGCATTGGGGACAGGGACCACACCAGGGGCGCAGGGAGCCCAGGCTGCCCACTGTCAGCACCCCAGGACCAGGCCAGGAGAGGAGGCCGGGACAGAGAGGCGGGGCCGGCCACCCTCTTGTAGCCCCAGGCCTGGGGCGCCTCCTCCCCCTGGCAGATCTTGGCGCGTTAAGATGCCAGCGCTGATTGTCACCAAGCGGCGGCGCCCGCCCTCCCGCCCTGTGCCCGCGGCTGTGCGTACGGCCCTCGCAGTTGTGCGCCGGTCGTGCTGGCCTCACCTGCGACCAGGCCGCGGGTGTGGAGGGGAGGGGGCCCAGCGCTTCGGGCCGCCGCCCCCCGCGTCCCTGCCGAAGCCGAAGCCGAAGCCCGGGCGCAGCTGCCCGCGCCTCTGTGCGCCTTTTGTTCCGCGCGAAGATAGATGTGCCGCGCTGATAAGGCGCGCAACCGATGGCGGCGGCGATAGGCGCTTCCATTTATTAACTTCAAACGTGGGAGCGGGGAAGGGCGGGGCGGGAGCGCGGCCTTGGCCGGCCAGATGGCTGACACGATAGGCCGGGCCACACTGGCGGGGCGCGCGGGGCAGAACGCAGCTCGGGACCCCCGGCGCCCCCGGCCCGGCGAGCTTTCCTCCTGCGCGGGTCGATGTGAGCTCTGATAAGCGTCGGGGCTGGTCGGCCGGATGGCGATCGCCAAGAGCGATAAGAGGCCTTATCTGCGGCCACCAGGCCTGGCCGGGTTCGAGGCAACGACAGCGCGGGGGCGTCGCGGCCTGGGACCCCGCTGGGGCGGGGCCGGGGGCCGGCGTCCCTGCCCGGGTCCGTCTGGGCGAGTTTTCATCCCAAACACACTTAATTGCCAAGAAGTTGGTCCTCCCCCTGCGGGTGGTACAGTCCGTCAAAATGAAAGAAAACTGACTTTGCGCTGGCCAGGAGGGGGAGGGCTGGGGAGGCGGACTCCCCGCCCTGATTCCTACTTGATAGTGTGAGATAGCCAGAGGCAGTGGGGGTCACCTCCCGCAGGAGAGAGGGTGTTTTCCCCTGAATCATGGGTTGGTGTGCGTTCCTGGCAGATCTTAGGTGTAACCTGCTTGGAGTTTTCTTGAAAAAACAAATCAAGGTGGTTTCCATTGCCCAGGCTGAGTTTTGTGGGGAACCCGGTGTGCTGAGGTCTTTTGGAGCGGGTTCCCCAGATCAGGAGGGGAGGTCTGAGCAGACCTGCCTTGACTCACCCAGCAAGCCTTTATTGAGCACTTGCTGTATGCAAGCACTGGGTCATGGAGCTGCCTTGGGGAATCGGGGGAGGGGCGAGCACAGGAGGGGCGGGGCCAGAGCGGTGTGGGAAATAAGCACAGGGAGGGGGTGGTGAGCAGCTGGGGGGACCTCCAGCCAGGTCAGGAAGAGGCTGCCAATGGGTGGAGGCGCCTCCAGGGACAATGGGCTGGCCTCAGTTTCCAGCTTTGAAAGATGGGGACAGGAAGAAGCTCCCAGGTCAAGTGGGCAATGTGGAGGGCCCCGAAGCCCCTTTGCAGTGGGAGGCACTCAGGGACCATGGATCCCCGATGCCAACTGGAAACCAAGGCCAACGAGGTGAGGGGCTTCCAGAAGAAGCAGGGGACTTGTCTGGGCCCCACCTGTCCGGGCCCCAACAGCTACTCCATCTCAGAGGAAGGTGTTTTTCACACGTTCTCAGAGTTTGATTAAACAAATTATTGGTGGCCACAGGATGACTAATTCACTCCAAGCTTCAAAGCCACCCACCTGCTCTCCCAGCAGCCCCACGCCCACCGGTGGGGGTGGCAGTGCCTCCTGGCGAGGGCCAGCTCTGGGAGAGCCTGGGGTAGGCCCGGCGTGGAGTGAGGTGGTCCCTGCGAGGTTTTGTGAAAGAAAGAGGGATTCTCTGCAGAGGGCCATGCACCCAGTATAGGAGGCCCCTGGGAGTCCACCTGGCTCCCAGGAGCCACCTGCAGTGCCCACCACCTGCTGTGATAGCAGAGAAGCCAGGAAGGAGGGGCTTTGGCCACCCAGCTGCCCCTGACCCGATCCACTGTGGGTGGTTACTTTGCCTTCCACAGCCTCAGTTTCCTCTCTCTGGAGAACAGGTGTGATCAATGCCCAGCATCCAGGAGTCAGCAGGGATATAAGTCCTGTCCTTGGCCAACCTTGGCCCCCTTGTCAGTCCCAGGCACTGGTCACCATCCCTGAGGGAGCAGAGCTACGGTGTGCCAGGCGTGCTCCTCCTCAGAGCCCTGGGGGCCTGGGGCCGAACTACGGTGACCAAAGGGATGAAGAGCTCTGAGACTTGGAGGGACTTGCTCACAGCCCCCAGCCCCTGAACCTGGCCTTGAGCGGACTCTGATGGACGCTGGGCCCCAAGCTCTCACCCCGACATGGGGCTTCCCCCGGCTCTGGGTTGCTCTCGGTTGTCACCCATTCCTGGGCCTCAGGAAGACAGTCAGCTGTTCATTCATTCGACAGGGATGATAATTATCCACCGTTGCTAATATAGGCTTCCTCTGTGCCAGGCCGCACAGTAGCATAAAGCAGGTCCTGTTCTTGTGGCCATTTATATCTGGGGTAGCAAGCACAGAGCAGTGACATTCTCACCCAGGGAAGTGGCAGAGCCAGAGCTGGAGGGCAGGTGGCCCTCGCTCTGAGCTGGTGTGTCCGTGAGCACTGTGCTGCTTTCCCGCATCCTCCTGTCTCTGTCTGCCTCTGGGCTTCTCCGAGCCTCAGTCTCCATGCCTGTGAAATGGGCTCCTGGGAGCAGAGGTGCTCGGGTCTTCCCCCAGCCCTGCCCTTGCCCACTCTCCCATGGCCTCCTTCCTAAGACCTTCCTGCACAGAGATGATCCCTGGGGAGGCTCACCCACCCCGGGGCCTGAGCCCCAACCTGGTACCACTGCCCAGCCAGCCCCTCCTCAGAGGTCACCAGGAGCCCAGCATGGCACCAGTACTGCCAGCGATTTAAATGGGTCAGTTGGGGAAGAAAGGAGGAGGGAATGTGATGCCATTAATTGTACCCCTTATCTCCTGTTTCTATGCCAACCAGACGTTCCTGGGGCTTGACGGGCTCGTGAATAATACTCCAGGCGGCCTATCTGCCATCGACAGGCCTCCTCCTGGAGGCAGCTGTGGCCTCACCGATTGGTATCGCCAACCCCAGAGACCCAGGCCAGGGCCACGTTGTACACCTGACTGCGCTCCTGCCCACCCAGCCACCATCCCTGGGCCTTCCTGGAGCTGCCCTATGGTCCCTGTCCCCATTTCACAGAGGGGGAAACTGAGGCCACAGCCACATGTCCGCTCTCTGGACTACGTCCACTGCTCCCTCTCAGGCAGGAGTGGCCTGGGGCAGAGGGGTGCCGGATGTGGGGCAGCAACACCTGCCGAGGGCTGGCTCCACGCCTCCTGGCCTCCCTGGGCCTCAGCACCCTCCACTGTGGCAGGAGGCAGGCA